TGTGTGTGTGTGTGTGTGTGTGTGTGTGTGTGTGTGTGTGTGTGTGTTATTTACAAATGCTGGACATTTTTCTCTTGTGTGTTTGTGGTCATACCAAAGTTTTAACTGTTGGCAGTCCGTTGCCAATACAGTCTGTGTCAAATGTGTCCCGATTCTATAATAATGAAATGTCAGGCTGAGCTATGATTGATTGATATTCACAGTTTGTCTGGAATAATCAAACAAGCGTCTGGCTTATTTTCTTATCTGGCAAATGCTGCAGGTATAACCACCTCTTCACCCCTGTGCCAAGAACATGACTCCTGTATATTTTTTTTTTATTTGCGCATCATGATCGTCTGAAGTTATGAAATTAAATCATAACTTCAGAAGTCCGTTGGAAATGTTCAGACACGAGGAATCTGTGATCAGTGTTGTCTCCGGTGGCCACATAAATATGAGTTTTGTTTCATCAGTAGGACCTGCTGATGATGAGTTGTGGTAATATTCCTCAGTGCCTTGTGTAGGAAAGGACCACGTCTTCTCTTGATGCTGCCTAAAGCTCCTCGGCTGTTGAAGAGAAGTCACATTAAATCAAGGCCGCTGCGTTCGCTCTTTTTCTGTCATTGCATTCCATTTCAACACAAAAACAGATATGACTGCTTCTACTACAGATATGTACTCTTATACAACATCTTGTGTTTGTTTGTCTTTTTCTATTCAGAGTGACGTGAAGTTCAGACATCGTTGACATGGTATTTTGTTATTACTATCTTATGACTGAACTGCCTGATTGTAATCCCAAGTGCATTAAAGCATGTAAGTATTTACATAAATAAAGCTGGAACACTAATGCAGAATTACAGAGGAGCTTATTTTATTTAAAGATGTGTGTGAATGCTTTTATCCATGTGTTTTACGCACAAACACACAGCCATGGTAACATGCAATGTCACCATGGCTGTGCATAAAGTTTAGTATGTTGAGACACTGGATTACACTATTGTGTTTATGTTCCTATTAAGGCATATAATCATATAATGGTGATTATTTAATTATTAATAAAATGAGAATAATATGGCATGTTTTAGAATAGTATCTTAATGCATTATTGTTTTTTAATCAACAATTTATTCATGTTTCATCGGTAGAAGCCAATAGAAGTCCGTAATAAAAGCAAGTTTTAGTTGAAAGGTTGTGAAAAATCCGTTTGACTTGTGTTGATTTATTCTTTATGGCAATTAAATAGTTATAAATATAGACCATGGCCCCTCAAAGTTGTTTTTATGAATGGCTTATAACTGATCTATAAAGCGTTATTTAACCATTAACACAACTGTAATATACATTGATCAAGCTTTTAGTTACAACCAAATACACTTTTACCGACCCGAAAGAAAAGCGTCCACAATCTTTCCCCTCGTGCACCTACCCTCTTTTGGGCCCCTGGGGGCCACTGTCCCGGCCCAGCCCAGGACTCCACTTCAGAAACCCGTGGTGCAAAGAATGACGGGTCACACAAATGTCTCCCGGTCATCTCCAGTCTCTCCGGTAGAGTTTGCTGTGGCCTTGTTCCCTTCGCCTTCCTCCTCTCGGCTCCTCCCCGTCTCTGTGTCGGCTCTGTGACGGGTCACGTTGTCGGAGGAAGAGGAGGAGGAGGAGGAAGAGGAGGAGGAGGAGGGGGGGCAGTCGGTGTGGAAGCACTGAGCTCCCTACCGGCCGACGAGTCACCGTCTGTACGCACTTACCATTAAATATTAGTCAAAGAGTTGACGGGAAAGCGAAACCAGCCGGATAAACATCGTATCAAACCCCGACGTTGGTACGTCGGACACACGTCTGGAATCTACCCGGAGGAGCTCGATCTCACCGCGGGCTGGATGCGAAGCTCGGCGTTATAGGTGCACCGGAGTCTGCCGACGACATGGGGAATAAATAGTTGGTAACGTTGCTTTAATTCTACAATAACGCATCTAACACGTCTCGTTAGACTACCGTGGAGCTGTGTTGACGATAGGAAAGATCCTCTTCGCGTAAAAACAAAATGTCAGTGTAGCCCAGTGACATTTTATCAGCCCTATTTCCAGTGTTATTCTGTAGCAAGTTGTCACTTGCTTTCGGCTTGTACCGTCCTGTCGCGAATTCTCCAAAACGAGAGTTCACGAGCCGATTGTTACATTGTCGTTGCATGTAATTGTTGGACCGTGACAACAGTTTAGAGATGTGTTGTCGAAGTTTCACTGTGGTCGCACTTCGTAGGACACTTGACTTAACGTGACCCGTTTCTTGTAAGCCAGTCGTCGCCCTGCTAAAGCTCCGTTTGCTCATTGTTGGAGGCTACTGTTACTCCTCATGCGCATTTACCCTCAAAATAATTAGTGCTGTGGGTGCTCGGCACACATCGTCCTTTGCCATTTTGTACTAGACGTAATAAGACTGTGGTAGGCTTAATTTTAATAAGGGTATTTCTTTATGTATTCATAGGAAATAACGCCCAGTAATCCATATTTAGAAATTAATTCTCAGTCTTGCTCTTTTCAGTCACACATCAGCAGTTTGGATCCGGCTGAAGTCATGGATGAAAGTTGGAAAAACTGCTTCGAAGAGGAGCTTCTGTGTCCCATCTGCCTGAATGTTTTTGATGAGCCCATCCAGCTGCCATGCAAGCACAACTTCTGCAAGGGCTGCATCTCTGAGGCCTGGGCCAAAGACAGCGCCGCGGTCCGCTGTCCCGAGTGCAACCACGACTACGAGCAGAAGCCCGCGCTGGAGAAGAACTTCAAGCTCGCCAACATAGTGAAGCGCTTCAACTCGCTGAACACCGACAAAGTCCCCGCCGTGCTGCACTGTGTCCTCTGCAGACGAGGGCCCCCGCTGCCCGTGCGGAAAGTCTGCCTGCGCTGCAAGGAGCCCTGCTGCCAAACCCATATCCAGACGCACCTCCAGCAGCCGTGTGCGGCCCCGGGACACCTGCTCGTCGACGCCGAGGAGCTGAGCGCTTGGACCTGTCCCAGTCATGAGGAGTACAGGCTGCTCCACTGTGAGGAGGAGCAGGTGGCTCTGTGTCCGTTCTGCTGCATCTCTCACTGCACTAACCAAAGACACACAGTGTGCGATGTGGACACGCAACGCATACAAATGCAGGTACATAAATCGCTCCCACACATACTCTCTCTCACTCGACCCGTTCGCTCGAAACTATCCGGTGACAGGCAGGTGACAGTCAAAAGATTTTGATAGAAGCACTTTCTTCCATGGATTTTAATTTGAAGGAAGCAGACCTTTCTTTCAGTTCACCAGTCCTTTTCTCTTTGCCTTTTATTCTTATCTGACGTGAGAGGACCGGACAGGTGAAAGCCGACCCCTCAGGGTAGATGATAGCACACACACACACACACACACACACACACGTACCCACATGCAGGCATACGTCCCATACAGCTTTTAACCTTGATCAAACCACCCATTCCACACTGCCACGCCTTCACATTAGCCGCCCTGTGCCCTCGGGTAAGTGCTGTGATGCAATCTGCATCCACCGGAAATGATGACCCCTGTGCAGCGGGGGTGGATCCTCCTGTAGTTGTGTTATGTTAACTTCCCCGATCAGTTTCAGGACTTGTTCAGAGGGGGGAGCTGCATACTGGTACGGCTATAGAGGCTGGTGAAGTAACTGACACGCTGGTTTTGAGAAGAAAATGCGGGTAATGTGCGGACGTGTTAGTGTGAATAGTGAACTGCCTCGGCAGGGGTTGACCTCAGGATGCCAGGAGGAATGCGGTGTCTCGCGTAAGGCCAGGGTGTCATGGCTGCCGTCCACTCCTGTATTTTCCTTTTTAGTTCTATACATCATTTCAGTTCACTCTCTTTTCACAAGCCTAATGTAAGTGGCAAGGTGTAAAAAAGAAAACACAGCCACCCACTCAGCCTCATGCACATTTCTTCTCTGTCGGCGAAGGGGTGGAAGTGAGAGTCAGATTTAGCATCTGCCGTGTTGCGGCCTTAATACGTTTGGTGATTGTGTTATTCCAGTTGGGAAAGTTACAGGCGCACTTCTTTCCGGCGTGTGGCTCACAAAGTTCGAAATCGTTTCGAAATATTTGGTGAAAACTGTTGCTCCGGAGCTATAATTGGGACAAAAGATGTCTGTTCAGCCCTTTCCACAGCTGCACTCCACACACACACACATCTTTCTGTTCTTTGACAACTGTATGTTCGCAGGGTAAATGGAGATATCCAGGAGTCAGAGCTTCTGTCTCTTCTCAGATTATCACGGTCCGTGCTTGGGCCTTTAGTCACAGAGTGCACTCTCATACTGATAAATGTGGCAATAGCCAAAGAGTTAGGCTTCTTGTACGCCGGTCCATTTCTTCAAGTAATTTGAGGCCAAAGTGGCTTCTCTTCAGCTCTTACTAAGAGGTCGTTCTCCTTGACGGAGCTGTGGTCTATTTTGGTAAAAGGATTTTAAATTCCCCTGGCAGCACTCTTGTTGCTTTTGGGATAAACAAAAAGGGAAAAACCAATGTAGCTATGTTCATATCTTTGCCTCTCAATGGAGACTTTTACAGTAACCTTTTGCAAGGCTCGCTGGTAATTTGGAGACGAGAAAGGAAGAGTAATATAATAGTAATGTTGGCCCTGGGACAGGCGGAGGTGGAGCCCTCCCACTCAGCCTCACCTTGGTTTTTCTCCGGCACCACAGCAGGAAGCCATCGCTCATGGAAGCTCTGCCGTCTGCAGTTTTCTTGTATCTGGGCTGGAGTGAGTCAGTTACCCAGAATGCTGAGGGCAGTCCATTGACATCAGACGTGGGGAATAGTTGTCAGTCGATTGTGAAAGAGGCTCTCTGTTCATTGAGCCCGAGGCTCTTCATTTAAACATGAGCTTCCTGGCAACCCGCGGGTGTCTGGGTGCCTAAATAGGACAGTGGGGGAAAGTGATCACTGGTGGATTTAATCTTGATAAAGGTAGACTTTCACACTGCGACAGAGAGATCAGCCACCAGACAGTTCCCTCCTGTCCCCTTGTGCTATTTCAAGCACACAAGACCAGAAAAAAGGGAATTGGAGGAAACATGGCAAAATGAGGAAGACGCAGTTGTTGACTAGAAGCATCCAGGCACAGAAAAGCTGTTGCCATTATGTGAGGCCACGTCACATAAAGCAGTGCACGCACCGTTTACGATGGAAAACTAACCCTAACCCAACAAAGTGGTCTTTCCTGTTTTTGTAGAAACAGTAGTTACACGGAAGGTATGACATGCCGCTGAGACTTTATGTACTTGTGAGGACAGTTATTATTCATACGAGTGTGCTGTCTGAAAAGTATTGCGCACACAATACATGAAAAACTGGATGAGACAAGAAACGCAGCCAAGGAACTAAGTGGCATGTGAGTTTAAAGGGCAGATTCAGGCGTTCATGTCGGTTGTTTGAAGAGGACTCTTCACCTTAAACTGACTGTACAAGCGAGCTGTAGTTTGGAAACGTAGTACAGGTTCGGGATGTGTCATGAGTGTGTGACACACGATTAGGGACCACACACACACACTTTTCAATAAGATGATACCCATGTCACCGCTCCTTTAGGTGCACAAAAGTAATTGCATTTAACTTAAGCTGCTAACGGTAGCTACTTAGCAAATCTAAAGGATGTCTACTTGTGTGTATCTTTAAGGCTTGACAAACACGATGAATGCTTATATATTAAAACACATTGCTGCTTTTTTTTTTTTTTTTTTTTTTAACTCCACCTCATTGATCTATTAAGTAGAACTGGATGTGCCATGGGGAAATTGGCAACCATTTATCAAACATAACTTGCTCATGTGATCGTCTTAATGTTGGGCTTGCTTCAACATCTCCGGTTGTTCCCCATCTCTTGTGCTCACACTGTATCGGCCTTTCTACCATAAAGTAAAATGCGTTCTTTATTTTTCCAGTGAGACCTCCTTTAATGTCCTGTCAACACTGCTACAGGGATGTAAATAGTGGACTGAAAACTTAGCGACTAGCCAACATCAAAGGTAGCTAACGCAGTTAGAGGCCGTGTCACTTATTCACTACTCCCCGTTATAATAGACACTCAGTAGTTTACTCACGATGCATTGCATTGTGGGATTGTAGACGGAAAGTGATACCATATATACCATGAATTCAGAAGTTGGACACTCAGCCAGGGACTAGCTAACCTCGAGGGAGCATTTAGCTGATCGGGGTTGGTGGAGACCAAAAACGGTGCTGAAAGGAGATTGAGTTTCGGACCTACATTTGTTGGGTGGCCATATTATTTGAATGTTGGTCCGAGTCTCCTGGATGTGTAACTACGCTACTGTTTGCTAACACATTCGGCAACAATTGTATAAGGTAATAAAATGTCAATGTTGTGTTTACAGGTTGTTCCGCTGTCCCTAATGCCTAGTTCACACTGCACAACTGTAGTCCCGATGACCCCAGATCGGAGACAAATCTGCGCTTGCTCTGCGCTCGCACATCGGCAATAGAGCGCCATGTGTGTGTGTGACCGGGAGCTACAGCCAATGAGAGTGCAGGACACCGGTTGAGGGGGAAACCTGGCGGAGGGGTTGCCTCGCCTGTAGCCTTCCTCTGTGTTGCATTGTCGGTTGTTGTTGCACATAGGGTGTCGGATGAATAAACGTAACGGGGACTGATCTACACAGGGTGAATAGCAAAGACATGTGGAAACGGGTTATTATGTCAACATCAACAAGCATGGCTACACCCGTGTCACTTCTCGCGTGTGTTTTTCGTGATAAGACGTAGTTTGGAGACCTCATCAGGGACTCCTCCTGGTGAAAGGTCTTGTAGTGTGTCGCCGGTCAGTTATACAGTATAAAAAAAAAATCACAACAACTTCAAGACATCCGATCACAAGACAGCAAGTCTGTAGTGGGAACCTAGCTAGAGCGGCCAAAAGAATCCCTTCATGTGGTCTTTCCTTTTGTTAGTGCATCATCTGTCTATAGTCCAAAGTGCTCGTCACATTCAAAGTGGCCTAAAATTGTGAACCATGTAAACTGGAAGAGACTGAAAGATTTCTGCTGTTACCCAGGTGGAAATAGGGAATATGCAAACAAGCAAAAGCGTGAGTAGTAATACATGTTGGCTAGTATTTAATGTCATTCAGCGTCTTTTTGTTTTAGAAACTAGAGGGACTGTTGGAAGTGTTCTCTCCGGTTTAGTATAGTTGCCGGCCAGTTGTTGTACATAAGACTCCATGAGTGTTGTAAGCAGCTGAAGAGGGCTGTTGCTGTGATACCACAACGTAGCTACCCTGAAACTCGCTCACTAGAGACCGCAGGAATGTCCTCGCTCTCCCCATCTCTCTTTTTTGATTCAAACTTTCCCTCTGTTGGTTTCACCCTCCTATTTGTATGTCTTTCTCGCTTTCATTCTGTCCGTTCTTGGCATGTGCGAGCGGAGCCCGATAGCACTTCTTCCCTCCCGTTCCCTTTTCTTTCTCCCATGCACACTCATGCGGAGGGTGAGGGAGAGAGAGAGAGAGCCGACCTCGGCATTATGCACACAGACATGACAATCTGTCACTGACACAGAGGCCAGTGCAAACAATGGGAGCAATGCATGTGGCAAAATGAGAAAGCGGAGAGGGGTAGTGAGACACCCCCTGCTTTCTGCTCCCTCACATACACATTAGCTTTCACATATAAATACATACACAAGGCTTTGTTGCCATGACAGCAGGTTTTCACTTATTTGGGCATGGTGCCTTTCCCATGCAGAAGCAGTTCATTAAAAAAAAAAAAGCGTACCTGCCCTCCCCCCTGTTCCTAGTTAGCTGTCAGCCTGTGACAGTAGATTGATTTCCATCTCCTGCGGTAAATGGAGAAGCATTATGTTTACGGGCTCTTTGACCGGCCTTTGGCTGTTTTTGCACTCTCACTGAGTCCATGCAGGAAGTAGGCTGGTCCCAACAATGGACTCCACTTGACGTAGCAGGGTACCAGACAAACCTAGATGAAATCAGAGATGGATTTGTGCAATTGCGTTAGCATTTTCTGCTGCTTTCCTCATCGACAAATGTGGAGCTTGTCTTAGTGACTCGTGAATAGCAGCCAGGTCTGCTGAGGTACAAAAGAAAGTTAGTATTTGATATTTGTGGTGTGTCCTGTTGTGGTTCATCTGTCTAATCCATCTACTTGTATGTCACTATGTCTCTCAACAGGCCATGCTGATGAGGCAGCAAGGCAGACTGGATGGTCGTGTTCAGAACATCGATGAGCAGCTGACCAAGCTGGAGTCAGACAAGACCCTGATGAAGGTAGAGCACGGCGCACACGTCTCATGAACATTATCAGTGCGCGGTCCTCGGTTCTTTGTCATTGTGCGGGCTTGGTGCTATCATTTCGTCCACACGCTGCTGTAATGAAATGACTCTGTACCTTTTGTTCACTGTTGCAAAAATGAAGAGAAAATGTAATTTATCTGCAGCTTTGAATGGCTGGTGCTTTGGGGTGGAAAATGCATTTTGCAAATGACTTTTCCGCTTCAAAAAGCACCGATTTCACAAAATGAAGTAAGAAGGAAAGAATATTTGAACCTCCAGTAACTAAACACATCAATTAATTCCTGTGTATTGAAGCTGAATGGTGTTAATTGTAATGTATGTAGTATACTGTAGATGCTTATGTTAAGACATTGAAGAAATAATTGGTAAAAAGGCAAAGTTGTATGTAAAAGTTTGCACTTAATATTGCACTTTCAGCGGTCTCGTATGGGACAGATTAGAGAGAGAGAGCGGTGACATCAAAAGTGATGACTTTTTTTACTATTCAGCCATTGCTAGTAAATTCATTTTGACATGCAAATGAGGGGGCGTACCTTCTATTTGGTGCAAGTGTATGTGTTTGCAGATCAACATGTCCCCCCCCCATCCTCCACAGGATGCAGTGTCTGAACTGAAGGAGCGAGCGAGAGCCCAGTATCAGAGGATGCATGCGCTGCTAGAAGCCAACCAGGCTGAAACCATGCAGATGCTGGAGAGCACCTACAACACGTATGTGAGGAAAAACTCCCAGCAGGTCTTGCAGCTCAACGAGAAGCGCCAGGAAGCAGAAAAACTCCTGAGCTTCGTACAAACGTTCTTCAAAAGAGCAGACGGCATTAACTTCATGAAGGTACAAATGGCGCTCGTGTCTGTACACACACACACACACACACACACACACACACACACACACACACACACACACACACACACACACACAGTGTTTGCAGCCACAGAATCAAATGTTGTGCTCTCAAGAACACAAAAGCAATGTCACTGTCACACACCAATGAATGTGTTCTGCTATGGTAGCTGTTTGTTTAAGGCAGATGGTGGCTCTGAATGACCTGTGTGCATCTTAATGTCTTTTTCAGAACACAAAACCGTATCAGCTGCTAATGGACAGGTAAGCATTTCTCCTTCTATTCCATGTCACTTTACTGCTACCTTTCATGCACATTTCTTTTGGTGCACTGACCCTCATTCTGCTGTCACTGAGGTTAGAGCATTGGATAGATAGACACATATTCTCTTCTTAACCACAATTCATTTTTCATATAGCTTTGTTATTATTATTCATTCAATCCTACTCACAATGTGTATTCATAAAGGAGAGACGTATACTTCACTGATGCATGTAGCTATATGTCATATGACAAGCAAAGTATGCGTCCAGTCTTCCAGTCAAGTGAAACGCCAGCCTCAAGGTGCAGAATGCATCTCAAGCAAGGGGTGCAAACGGCTTACTGAATCTGGTCCACAGTATATTATATGTGTCTCTGTTTTTTTTTTTTTAGGTCAAACACGCACCTGAGCAGTACTATCCCTCCACTCCGAGTGGGCCAGCTCAATTCTCATCATTTGCTGTCTGAACTTTCGACGAGAGAAAAGAACATACGAAAGATGCTGGAAGGTAAGAAACAATTGGAACGAGTAACTAGAGATGAGGGAAAAGTGTATTTAAAATATCAATCTCTGGGATATATTATAGTCAGAATGAACTATTGTTTTGTTTTCTGCCATTCTCAGAACCGTTCAATGAGGCGCCCATTCTTGAGATCGTCCAGTCACACAGCAGCTCTGCTGGCTCTCACATGGGGACGGCTTCAGGACTACAGAAGAGGAAATATGGCATGGCTTTCCTGGAGAGTAACAACTCCACCTCCCAGGATCCTCCACCGTTGCTCTACAGCAGCAAAAAAACCTTCCTGGCTGATCAGACCCATCACGCCTCATCCATGTATTCCTCTGAAGGCCTCTCCCAGAATCCCCACGTTGGGCCCGGCCATGGCCGACTCCTAGACACTGCAGCCCATCACATGGTGGGTCTAGGGTCCAGCAGCCACCACTCAGGGACCATATTCTCCCCCTCCCATTACCCCGGTGGAGGTGCCTCGCAACAAGCCATGTACGAAGGGAGGAAAGTACTGATGTGCACTCTGAATAACTGCTGCTGCTCCAGGGCCCCCGCTGCTCGTGCCCGGCCTCCGTACCCAGCGCCGGACTCCTTCCCCTCCATGACCTCTCAGGAGTTTCCCCCACATGCCCCGCTACCTACAAGCCAGCCGCTGCAGCATTTTCCCATGAGGGGAATGATGGAAGCCTCACAGACAGCCAGGCACCCTGACTTCTACGGGCTGTACGGCCAGTCTTCAACCAAGCATTATGGGACCAAGTAGTAAACCACAATCAGCATTTGTACCGTTCTCATGAAATCAGAATTATCATCAATTTCCATGTTTGCTTTTTGTTACTTTCCGTTATGGAGAGATATGTTATCAGTTTGCGTCTCCAACCCGCCATCATGGTTAGATTACTTTGACATTTACTCGACCCCGTTTTGGGAAACCATGCCCTGTTAATGTCGGTAGCCCGGTTTACTTCTTGAATCACAGTGGCGGTAGTCATGCTGTAATTTGACGACACGGTTGTATTTTATTTATTTTCTGTTTCAATTTGACTGGAAGTGCTAATGTGAATAATGTAGTCTTAAATCCTTTCAGGCAGTGAACAAAATAAATAACATATCCTTCATCACGAGTCCTGACATGGGACTCCAGAGACTTCAGTGCCTAAAAAGACTGTTAACACGCTCTTATTGTACTTGCAAGTTCCTAGCTCTTGATTATTTCCTGTTTGCGGCCGAAAGCATGCAGGGAGCCTCTCCATGCACTCCAAAGTCCATGTGGCTTTAGAAACACACTGGACTTCAAATGCTTGTCAGGTTTTTCATGAATTTTTATACAAGATTATGAATAAACCAAAATCAGTGGAAAATATGAAATAAACAAGCATATTACTTTAACCTTTTGTTGTATTGTAAGCATGGGTTCACACAGTTTAATGTGATCTTGTGGGCTTTTATCTATGATTATAGTTTAAACTTTAAACAGTGACACAGAGGTCAGATTATACTGAGGCACACATTGTGTGATTTGTTTCGGTTAAGAGGTTTTACAGTTTAACTCTCTGGGTTACAGTTGAAATGTCAGAGCCTCCCGTAAAATAAGAATAGCCGTTATTGTAGTGCATCCCACCCTGCAGTTCACCCACAAGCTATTCATAGGCTCAAAGACGTGTAAATGAGGAAAGAAAAGACACTGGGTGACCACATGTTTGAGAAATACTGCATTCAGAGGAATCTCAGAACACGGTGGAGGAGGTTTGGACAATGATTTGTTACAGGCCAGGCCACAGAAGGCCCATTATCTGCCAATTTAGGGCAGTTCACTTCCTTGTCAACATCCTGGTCTCTGGCAGAATCTCTGTCTCATCCCTCTTTGTCTCGTTATTGGTGCTCATTGTCAAGTTAGGTCAGAAAACAGGAATAACTGATGAGCAGCACCTCCCTCCCCTCACCTCTCTCTCTCTCTTCGTCTCCCGGGGTATAATTTGCTGGGGCTCGACGCGGAGGAGGAGGAGGATGATATAAGCGAAGAGTTTTAATGAGGGCTGGGACAGCATAGTCATCTACTTATCTGTCACTCATACTCCTTTCATCATTCCCCTCCCCCCCCCCCCCCCCAGCTAGACGGTGAGATAGATGGAGCGAGCTGAGGGGCGGGGTGGAGGGCTTAGAGGGAGGAGAGGAGAAAGGGAGGAATGGTTGGAGAGGGGAGGGGGAAATGCAGAGTGTGGCACATCACTTATTTATGGGTTATGAAGTGTTCTGCCCTCTTGTTACGTTCTCCTTTTCTCTTGTCCGGTCCGTCTGTTGTGTGTTTTTTTTCTGTGTGAACACATATATTTCTGATATTCTCTCCAAAGAGCTCGGCCACCTTTAGCGGCGAATGCACGCGGCAGAGTAGGAGGAGCTGAGGTTTAGTTACAGTGTGGCATGAATCTGACATTTAGTGTGTGTGTGTGTGTGTGTGTGTGTGACAGAGAGAGAGAGTGAAAGCCTATTAGCATTCCCCTTGAGCACTGTTCCTTCTGTGTGTGTTATTAATAAAACATACAGTAGATATCCTGAAGGAGGCCATACCATTAATTTAATCCATATAAATAATTTCATTCATAGCTGCATGTTTATACATTGTCATTTTAAACTCTAAAAATCAAGGATTTAAATGGTAGAGACTCTTATTTTGTTTTGAAACTCAGCAATGATTTCTTCAGCAATATTTTGAATGTCCACTACAGTTCATGACTCAGTCTCGTAGTAATTTATCAATCTATGGATAAGCACCAACATGCAGTCGAATCCTGTTGTGTGAGCGAATGTGTGCTCAGGTGTCAGAGCACAATCAGTCAGTTACTGTGTGGTTCCTCACACAGTATACATGCAAAAGTGGGCTCTGCATATGTGTGTGTGTGTGTTTGTTCTCAGTGAGGTTACATATAGGGTACAGGGTGATGCACTTGACAGCTGTGCTCTGTTGTGGCAGGTGGGTTGAGCTGTATATGTATGAGTACAACACGCCCCTGCTTGCAGCAGGACATGAGTCTGTAGTGCGTGTGTGTGTGTGTGTGTGTGTGTGTGTGTGTGTGTGTGTGTTTTCAATGCATGGGAAACTGTCAGCTGTTGTGCAGCTGTTGTTTGTGTGCTTTAGTCAGTGTTTAGATCTACTATTAGAGTTACAGTGGGCACTCTCTTGCTCTCCCTCTCTCTGTTTCTTTCACACACATTTTCCTACCCAGCATGCATTACTGCCCAGCATTACCTGCACCAAGACTGAATAATCAAACAGGGTCAATATAGCCAACGAGAGGGTGGGGTGAAAGTGATCATTTAAAATAAAGAAGATCCCAAAAACTCACAAAAATAAATTGGACGTAAGAAAACACGACATCGCTGAATAACTCCTGGAATGCACTGAACATCACTGTTGATATACATCAGCTGAGGGAGGAGCTTTCCTCTGTAACTCAGGCCTCTGATGAATAGTATTGACATTGTCCCAATACATTTGCACAGCTTACAGCATGTGAAACTGTCCTGTCAGTCCAGTGGTGGATGTGAGAAGTGGCTGACATGGCAGCCTGAAGTATCATAGTATTTGGAATACATGAGTGGCCATTAGTGCTATTAGTCTGGACACACAGATTCTTAGCAGTCCTCCCAGTAACACTGACAGGAACAGGGACGTAAACAGCATAATGCATTCAGAGTGGCTATTCATCAAACATGCACAATGCTAACCTTCATCTGATAAGGTCTTTGAAATCAGTGCCAAAACTCCAATCAAGGATAGCAGTGCACACACACACACACACACACACACACACACACACACACACACACACACACACACACAAACGGTGCAAAAACATCAAAGACGAGGATCTGTGGCCAATGTTTTTTGATCTACCGATCTATTTTTGCCAGTGGAAATCATTGTAACATAAACCAGTCTTCTGTCGCGTCTCAGCTGAATGGAAGCAGGCAACAATAAAACAATGTATACCAGTGGATTAAGCAAAGACAGGAAGGGTGTGTGCAGGTAAACTGTTATGAATATGGCAGGCACGCATTTCAGAGGCCCTCTGTGGAGAACAGCTGTATGCAGTTATTGAGTGAGAGTACAGTGGCAGGCTTTAGCTGTGGCTATAGTGACTTTGGCCACACTGTAGTGACACATGCAAGTACCAGAGGTGGAATAATAACACATCTTTACTCAAGTACTGCACTTCTAAGTATCATTTTCAATTTATTTGCTGTATTATTATTTTTATATGGAAAATTATTAGTTTTTTCTCTAAAAGGCTGTAGTAGAAATTATTAAAATAAACATCAGACCTTACTTTATTAACTTTTGTTCATAAGGTATACATGTAGTTGCACAATTAAGGGATTCATTTGTACGGTGCGTGTGTGTGTGTGTAGGTCTTTACTGCCTGCACATGATGACGTGACTATGACGAGCTGTCAAAGAGGAAGTGGTTTCAGCCAGGTGTTTTTCTTTTAACTACCAAATGTTTGTATCGCGTCTCAGATTTACATACATACTTTGAATCTAGACTTTTTAAAAAGTAGTGCAGATATGTGTTCCTGCCTGCTAGTTTCCCTGCTGCTTCTTCTTCAGTTGTCTGCCGCGCTACTTGTGGGCAGATAAAGCTGACAGAAACTGAACAGACGAAGGCAGGAGCGGTCAAAATCCCCTGTCAACTGTTCCAAGTGGCCTAATTTCTCTTTCAGTTTTATTGACATGTGGAGAATAACTGTACTTTCCAGGAAGCAATTCAATTACTGGAACACTTAAACACGCTGGAGAGTCCCCAACACATTTTAAAGTGTTGAAATGTAGACTTTTTTTCATAGTAGTGTTGAGTGTCTTGGTTAAATTTGGCAGTAGGCCTATGTAACATTAGTTGCCTAAATTACTGGGATGCTTACCTACTTTGGTCCTATATTTGTGGTTGGCAATATGCAAGGCTACAGGTTATTTATTACTATAAGTGGTGGCAGCAGGTCACAGACCACAAACCTGCTTAGATAGAAGAGTTGGGGATTAAGATGGATGTAGGGGATGTTTCATCCTGTCGGGAATCAAGCATTGCGCATGCGCCTTATGGATTTCTGTTACTCGTGCCTGCTCTAAATGGCTTTCCTATCTTGAGGAAATGGGTAAAACCACAGGTGGGTTAGACAGTGAGCCAGCATGCACAATTCCAGGTGATAATAAACTAATATTTAAGAATATAACAGTCACAGGGGCCGTGTTTGTTGCCTTCAGTAGCTAAAGGGGGGGACTTAAAAATAGTCTTTACCAGGTGAATTTTTTTTGTGGTGACAAGCAAAGCTGAAAGTCTGCATCAGGCACTAATCAATGCATTAAGCCACAGGTCCTAAATTCGATACCAGAGCAAACAGACAAGTCACTGAGTCAGATGTGTCCTTTTATGTGTGCTAATGTTTGTACTCATTGATTTCCCACAGTACAGCCCTCAATAGGCTACATTGGGTAAGTGATACGTCCTTTTCTTACCTCGTTCTCCCTACACGATGCAACAGTGAACCTGAAGTTTTTTGACATTGACGCTCCCCGGAGGGATCAGAGTACATTTACTAGCTGACTTGGCTTCTTTTAATATCACGGACTGTTGAACAGTCCTTCTGCCTTCTGCCACCCTGGCCCAGGTCAGAGAACTGGTGGACAGCTACAGGTAGACAGACGACAAGCCCTTGGCGACCATGGCACATATCTGGATGGATTCAGTCAGTCGGTACAAACAGGAAGTGTTTTGAAATGTGATATGTTGTTTACGAGTGTGTGTTTTAGAGTGGGCAGTATTCTACTTAGGAGCAGCAGCTCTACACAGAAACCGTACGACTCTTTCTTCTACTTGTGAACTATTGAAGGCATGTCACTTCAGGTGAGCCCGGAAACTGGAAGTTCAGCAGGTTCATAATTACAATCAGCACTGTTGTGTGACATATTGTTTTTTTTGATAATGCTGTTCTTCAGGACAGTACTTGTGGTGGTGTTCTGGCAGCGGGTGGACCAGTCTTCTTCTAGCATCTTTGTCAACTACACCAACCACAAAGCTAAATCATCTTATTTCTCATCACATGCCAACAGCTTTTCTGTAATTCAAGAGCGGGCTCAGAACTACTGATCTGTGGAAGTATTAGAGATCCGCATACAGTGCATGGATTACTGATTTTAATACAAATGAAGTACCATGAAGTACAGTGAGAGTATGACTCCATCTTTGGCTCATCATAAATATGGCTGATGCTGAGTCACACATTTTCAGCTCATTAAATTAATGAGGCCATCTTATTCCCAGATATATCTTCTTATTTGTCTGCACTCAAAAAATGCCGTGGTAAACATTACATTGTCACCATATGGTTGATAGATAACTAATTATATGTCACAAGCTGTTTGGAGAATTGTGACATTTTATGCTTATTTAGAGCGCATGTCCTCGCTATTATGGACAGAAAAATAGCACGTTTGTTATTGTAGAATATAATTTAAAACGTTTTTTTAACATAAAGTATGTAGATATGGTAGAACATAAAACATATGTAACAGAGGAGTATATAATACATAGAATATACAAACAGAATTTAAAGAATAACAGTTAGCAAAAAAGCCAGAACTGCTACCGCTTTCCCACAAATATTAGTGGAGTCAATATTGTGTAAGGGAATCTCTTGATGCGAGACTTTTGATTTTGCAGTGAGTGATACCTCCTTCTCAGTAACATTTCTTTCAACATGAAATGCATGTTATCCGCCCTGCTCTGAACGCAGCTTTAACCTCTACATGGAAGGTTAAGGACTTAACGCATCACACAGACGCTGGGCCATAAAACCGTTTTATCCAATAAAAGTGGTGTGAAGGTTCACAAAACAGCCACTCAGCGTACATCGAGTCGGATGTGGTTTATGAGTCAGAAAATAAGGAGCAGCAGCACCTGCTTCAAGTCAAGGTGACATTAAATAGCCGGAGCATTGTTGCACATTGATTTGCTATCTGTCCTTTTTTTGAGGCTTACTCATCTGGTTTCTTACCTTCCAATCAGAAGAGAGAGAGAGAGAGAGAGAGAGAGAGAGAGAGAGAGAGAGAGAGA